GACCTGTTTGATTGAGAAACAAATCACATACAGTAAGATGCAAACTTTAACTTCTAGCGAGCATGAATCATTAACCCATTAAATGCCAGCGGTCTCCACTTGACAAGTAAGATCGTCTGGCATTAGAAAAAGCAACATAATGCAATTCAGTGGATTAAAATAACTCAAAAGTTTGAGACAAGTCAATTGTGAAGAACATACGGTACCTGACCCAGTCTTTCTATACCCATCAAATTTTTCCATGGGTGCAACAGCCTCAAAAAAACGCCCATTCCATATCTCTCGGTCGTGGAAAGGATTTGATGAATGTAATCTTTCATCACAGATATTGCACATGTAAAATGACAAACCACATTGATGACATCTAACATTGGCATCACTTCCAAAACAGAATGAACATTTGTCTGAGTGGTGGTTTTCGTCAGAGACAACCCAGTTAAAAATAAAGCTCCATCCTTTTGTCCAATCTTCCTGCATATCAGTCATTCTTTTTGTCCAATTTGATTCCACATATTCTGTGCTACCCATGGATTCCAAAAGGGTTTTACAATGAGTAATCAAATCTTCCAGGCTTTCACCTGCCAAGCAATATGAAAACAGATGAGTAATAAAACCATGTACAGTAGGCTCAAAATTAGCCTTTTATGATGGCTAGCATAAAAATGGCTAGCATAAAAATGTATAAGAGTTCATTGCTTGCTATGATGCACATTATACATGTAGTTATCATCTAATTACTGTACATATGGCATATTGTCATTCATTACATTATGGCTAGTTGATACTTTCTGTATTCCTAACATATTCTGTTCTATACAAATAATTTTTATTTTGTTAACTAATAACTTTTTTGGATTAGTTTGGCTAATAACACATTTAGAAAAACATAGGAGGGCAGGGCTGCAAATAAATATTTGACTTGACAGGACATTTGTCCGATCACTTTTAATTTTGGTCGGACATAACTTGAATTTGGTCACTACAGACAAAAACCAACTAAATTTGGTCGGAAAAATATACGTCACAAGCTATATTAATATTATAAGTCACAAGAGAAGTATGTATATCCATTCCGGCGCAACGTTATTGCAAAATGCAAATTGAGTGAATTTGCATTGGATTTTGTCACAGCAAAAAATGTACAGCATGTGACAATTTTTTTTGTGATCGGACCAATGTCCGATAAAAACTACTTTTGCTCAGACATTTGCCCAATTTAGTCGGACATTGTCCGATGTCCGACAGTAATTTGCAGCCCTGGGAGGGGCCAATAATAATTATCAACGTCTTCCTAACCATCAAATGAATGCTCATGCAATAACCATAATTTTCATCACCAATGTGGTACACTATTCGAAATGGACTTATGTTCTGGGAAAGTCTTTATGCTCTTAATAGGGTAAAATATTGATAATTATAAGAATTATAAACAATCCCTTTGTATACCTTTCACTTGGTTGTCTTCATAACTGAAATCATCAGGTTCGCACATTTCACTCGAGCACTCAGCAGGCACTATAACATCTTTATTAAATAGAATAAAGTGAGGCCCAATGTTACATGGTTATAACATTATATTCATTGTATTGTAGCTCTTGTATTAAGATGTTTTAAATTCAAAATTACTGTAGTTTAACCATTAAGTTATACAGAATACAGAGCTTCCCCATGGATCGACAAGTAAAATCATCTGGTGTTAGACAAGTAAAAAAAACACTAGGTGCACTGGGGCGCATTGCAGCTCAATGGGTTAATTAATGCACTCTTAATAAATTGTTTTTGGCATCTACTGGAACTTAGTTGCCATATGATGTCGATAAGAAGTTTAGATACATATATGAATGAAGTGTATGGTTCACTTCTCCCGCAAACAGGCTCTTTGGTTTGTTAATTTGACAGCTCAAATTTTGCACACATTTTAAAGGAAGCTTTCAGAATCTAGTTTCAGAAATTTCAAGGAAGATACTACTTGCCAATTCAAGACAATGTTTAACAGTACCTGGAACATGGAACCTTGACAGTTGTTTGTGATCAAATGAGGATTATTTTACAAATTTGCAGGAAACTCATTGCAGAAAATTTCATAAACATTGCCTTATTTAATTTCAGCCTATAACATCACACGACAGTGCTTGTGATGCCCCCTCTGCCACTCAATATATGTATGTAACTTTGACTAAATCACCCACGTCACTTGTAGATGTGTTTCCTTGGTAGGACGGCATGGACAGCAGGGTTGGTAGATTTAGTGCCGAATAAATAAGCCAAACATTGTTATAAGCGGCCCTTTGATGTCTTGGTTTCAAACAAAGAAAACAAAGGTTATGCTACTTATATAATGGCTTAATTTAATCAGCAACCTACCAACCCTGATGGACAGTGGTAATACTGAACACCATTGCATTGCACCTGTAATGATGGCCAATTTACAGGCAAAGTTCCCAATATTTTTTTATTTAAATAAATACATACTTAAGACATGAGAGATACAAATTAATACAAATTGTTCCAGACTGGTTAAAATTTTGTGTTGCTTAATTTTTATGTCAATAAAATTGCCTTGTGTATTAAATTGCTAAAATTGGTGGCCTAAGTATTACATGTTGTTGTATCATCTCGTTTTTTTAATTGCATTCATAGACACAAAGCAAATCATACTTTTATCGCCCTATTCGGCTATTCTCTCCCTACAGTATATAAAATGTCCCAAATACTGTACAAGCACGGTCCATTCTAAATCATTTTCAACTCCTTTACTAGAACGATTTAATTTAGTAAATGATCAATCAAACCTGAACGTCTACTACATCTTCTTGAGGAATCATATGTTCCCTTGAAATCACGAAGACCAGTTTTTGGGTCAGTGTTTATTTCAAACCGAACTGGTTTCCTCTTCCTTTTCGAATATTGCTCGCAAAGTTCTTTCACCTGTTGTAATGCCTCTTCGGTGGACGGCTTTTTCTTTCTTCCCAAGCGTGACGACATGCTGAAAAAATATGTCTTCTATGAAGCCATTATATTGTGAAAGAAGACTATAAAATTAAAATTACAAACATTTTTTTAAAAATATATCAGTGTCATTGCGTCAAATCAGCGCCATGTGCAAAATTTGCAATGCGCACATCTATTTAACTTTGATTCCATCTACGCATGCATGAGATTCATGATTATAACGAATTCAAAGCGATTTAACATTTCGTGATAATCACGAATTCAATTCGGAGATCGTGTTGGATTGTTGATTCACTTTCGATTTGACATTTAATTCAATGAGAAGCTTTATAGATTGTGAGCGAAGCATTTTTACAATATCGTTTGAATGTAGGCTACATTTTTGAAGGTTTTGCTCGCATGGAAGGCGAAAGGGAGAAATCTCCCATTAATGCCGAGCAACAAGAGGAGAATCTCGATTCTGTGTCCAACGATGGCCAAGAAACGAGTGGACAGCCGTCGTCTTCGACATCTGCGTTGAGTTCTAAAGCGGAGAGTCCCGGGAAACAGATGGATGGCAGTGAAAGAGCTTTAAGTAGTACGTATTTTAATTTAGAGCTTCATGAAGGACTCAGGAATTTGGTCAGTACAACTAGAGCACAGATCGACATGAGCTCATAAAGCACTTTCGATTTGGATTTCAAAACTTCAGTTGTCTTGCCTGGGCAGATGCATGCTCCCACGCCTGAAAGTTGAATTTTAGAGTTCCAGAATAGCCATTTCCTCAATTTAAAAGGTGAAATCCTTTCCCGAAATATTTCCCCAACGAATTTTATGTTTAATTCACGTAGCAATTATCTTCTGAAAATATTAAATTTTGCTTCAAATCGTCGAAGGTCTTGAAATAAATTGCGTAACCCAGGAGCATGTTAAAATTCAATCCGTGTATTTCTGAAGTTCTGAACGGCGGTTGATTTAAAAACTTTAAAAACTAAAACTCGTATTGATCCGTACAAGATTTCTGAAGAAATATTTCTATGTTTATGAACAAGCTGTTGGAAAATTTGCTCAGAAAATATGTAAACACAGACTTTTAAAGAACTGCAGATCTGTCAGTTGCAAGCTGAGGCATGCCATGTTCAGATCAAGTTTCAATGTAGGCTTTAATAGCCAATTATGATTATGATTATGCTGCTCACTCCCCATCTGGGCTTTTCGATTGAGTGACCGATTACAATTAGTATTACGCTTACTTGGCATTACTTACTTTAGATGCTTATATATAGACTATTTATTTGTACAAGAATTGTGACATTTCCTAACTATGTTTATCCTTACCCACCCTGTCAACTTTCTCTGTGGGAGGAAACCCATGACTTTTGGCAGAGCGGTGACAGACTCTTTTCACATGAGTCATGCATGAGTCCATAGCGAGAATCGGGCCCCCACTATCTAGAGGTAAAAGGTGGTTGCTCTGACGACTGCGAGAATGCACTCTCCACGAGAGCTATAGACATAGTATGCAGGCCTCGAATTTGGCCGTCAATGCCCTGCTTGTTGGCCGCTATGCCCTCGAAATATACTGAAATCCACGGCCAGTAGTCAGGCCTGCCCTCAACCACAGAGTACACTATGCTTTAGAATACCAAGTGTATGATTTGTAAAACTGGCAATAATCAAATTATGTACTGTACAATCTTATTAGTTATAGTTTAATAGGTAGTTACGATACTTGTAAATATGATATGAATATAGTTTCGTTTGGCATTTTTTTAATTGTTATTTTTAATTATTAATCTGTATATTTTTCTTGTCTCATGGAAACTCAAACGTTATTTGAAACTTCTAAATAGCAACTGAATAAAATTTTCAAACAGGCCTTGATGCCCTGTATACTGGCCTTGATGCCTTGAAAAACTTAGTAACATTTAAGGCCAAACCGGCCTTGCCTTTATTTTTCCCAAATTAGAGGCCTGAGTATGAGTATATTTAATATGTCAAACAGTCAAAACAAGCTTATATATGCACAGGCTGAGTCACTGACTATGCCATTTCCATGTCTGGAAATTTTGAGACAGTGTAAATTTTTATACATTCATTTAGACCTAACAACAGGGCAGAACTTTGTGATATATACACTCTCTGGCAGGAATGCAGGAATCGAACCTGTGGCCCTGCGGCTCCGGTGCAGTGCTCTAACCAACTGAGCTATGGAGTTCAGTTGCTGAGCTTTAAGCCTTTAACTGCAAGTTCATGTATACCGTATATACTAAGGTGATGTTATGGTACACGAGTAAATTTGGGCATCTCACCAGGGGTGGAAAAAATATTTTATTATGAAAAGTGGGAAAATTTTCTGCGAGTTGTCACCGAAATTCTGTATAATTTGAATTAATTAAAGGGTCACTTGCAAAGAGGGCTAATAAGATTTAAGAATTATAATTAAATAACCATAGTACCATATAAAAGCTGTGGCAGTCCTAGTTAATCGAATAGAAACTCATTAGAATAACAATATAACTCATTATCCATGTTGGTCAATGTTTATTGTATTTTTGCCAATCCACCAATAGCAATTTCCAATTTCCTCTATTGTTCGAGTCAGCCTATTGTTCGAGTCACTCTATTATTAGGTGGACAAAAATACAATACACATGTGACATTGAACGACCAGATTTATGAATAAACATGTTGACTAACATAGATAACGAGTTAAATTGCAGTTATTCTAATGAGTTTCCAAACCATCTATTCTATTAACTATATGGGCAGTCCTAGAAGATTTTCTTTCATAATGCAACTGAGGAAAGGATTTAATTGAAATAAACAAGTGAGGAAAGACTGAATTTGTGTGCTTTCCAAAGTGGCTTTGAATTCTATTAATTTTGCATCATAATTAATAATAGTCTGAAAACAAACAATGTCAAACATGATTTGGAATTAGGACAAAAGGTATTGTAAGTTCTATGTTGTTGTTCACCTTTATGTCCTTTATGGAAATTTATGCACTTTCACAGTGAGTGAACATTTTGTTCTGTATAGTGAAGCAATTGGCCAATGGAAATTTCAGACTTCAACCGTAAGATTTTCATATTGATAAAAAATTGTGTACTTTCAGGTACATTTCAAGTTTTCAACATCAATTGAAGTTTGGTTAGGAAATTACTTGAAGTTAAATTAACCAATCTTCCTAGCAATGACACCAATGTGTATTTTCTATTAACTATGATTGCATTTAGTTGTGCTTTATATTATATAATCACTGGCAGACACTTTGTGAAATATTGGGTGCCAGGAGGGATAGTCCATAAATGTCCATCTTTTGTTTATTCTGTGAGAAGACCGAGTATGCAAGGTCTGCCAGTCAGGAGAAGTTTAAACAGAACATCACTTCCTAAGTCCCTGTGAATCCTTATGGCTTAAGCCCATAGTAGTCTCTTCATGAAAACTTTTAAAATTACTTGGAATGTGATCGCACCAATGAAGCAGATCTAAATGAACGCAGTTTACCAGTTGAGATAATGAAATCTCTGTATGTTTTGAGAAGAGATCTAAATGCTTTGAAGCCATGAATGATGACAGTGAATAAGCTGTTTAACTAAATTACTAAAACCCAATTAACTTCTTCAATTATACAGTATACTGTTAAATAGGGTACTCATATGTAAACTGAAGTCTTCCTTTATACCAATAACTTCATTTTCTATTCCTTGTATTATTTGATACTGACAGTATGTCATACTGCCACAAAACATTTTGCATTTTGCATTTTGCATTAGTATCTTTGGAAAATGCAGGGACAGCTTGGAGCACATGCATGTTTAGGATGTTTACTGTATTCTGTGACTATGTCTGTGCTGCACAATGTTGACTCATCTATATGTATAAATTTTTTTTCTAACTTGATCATTTTCCAAACCATATTAACTTTGGAAAGTGTAAAGATGGGTTGGAACGCATTGATCGTGTGTTGTAATTTTGTATTGTAGCTTTGTTAAAGTTGTAACCTGTCTCTATTGTTTTACAATGTCAGTGTAATGTGTAGGTAGGACTTGATTTGGGACTCCTCAGTCCTGTTGTCTGTACCTTCAATCGTTTTGTTGATTGTAAAGTTTATAAATTTGTAAATATTAATATACCAACTAATAAGCAATACTTGTTTGTAAAGTCATGCTAATAAAGTCATTTGTTACTGTTGCTGTTACTACTTCCTATAGAAATAAAAATTGGGAATTGAAATTAAGGAGGGAGGGGAACGATATGGATAGCAAATTTTGGAACCAGGGCAGTGGTACGATACAAAGCCAACAAAGGGATTAGAACCTGCACGTGAGGCTACATCCTGCTATCAAAGTTATTTTGCAAATTATTTTGGGGGCAGCCCCTACACCTAGTGTCTGTCCCTGAACAAAATGGCTACTTATTGGTGCAGTTACTCTCTCTTTCTTTCTATCCTTTTTCTTCCCTTTTCCTTCATTTCTTTCTTTCCTTTTCCTTCTTTTCGTTTTTCCCCCCTTTTTTCCCCTCCCTTTCTTCCTTCCCTCTCTGCCAGCATAAAAAATGTTCTGGGACCAATGGTCCCAATTTGGTCCGCTATATTTTCCAGCCCTGCATCTCATTCAATCAAACTGGTCAAGGTTTTTCTCATTTTTCTATCCAGCTTTGCCGGATGCATTTACCGTAACTGAATACTCACACTGATCTGCAAATCTGCAATAAGACTGGATAACGTATCTATTGTTGAAAAGTGAAACCTAACTTAAGCCAAGTCTCCAAACCTGTAATTGTGTGTTTTATAACCATAATTTAGTCAAATCATTGTACTGTATTTTTTATATGAAGAAAATATGCAAAACAAGGTCATAAGAAGTTTAAAGGGAAATGGCAATATATTTTTTATTCTTTCATTTGAAAGAATTTTTACGACTATATATATAATACTCTTTTACCGTTTTTTTTTCTTCATATTTTGCCTACTTCTACAAATATTTTGATTAAAAGGAATGAAATGTCTGCCATCTTCAATTTTTGTATATCTTCAATATATGCACGTC